AATATAAATTTTATTATTTTATCTCATAGACTTATTATAATAACTTTACCATATCGGCTCTCTTTAAAGCAGGAGTAGATAATGCTCTTCGGTCGGAAATATGGAATATTCTGTCCCGAAGGATCCCCCCACCATTTAGAAATCGCATGCGCATTAAAGTCGACATAATTTTTACTTTCTTTTTCCTTGATTACGTTGTAAGACTTTATATATCACAAAATGAATAAATATCTCAATATTACGTAACAGGTCGTTATTAAAAATGTTTCTGTCAAATTATTTGATAAAAAGTTCTGAATAAACGTTTAGTTCAATACATTACCACAGACTAGATACAGGATAAACCTAACCCCTTATGGGACTTTGTGGCCAACGTTCTTAAATACTGATCGTGTAAAAAATCAGAGACATTGTTATGCCTTCTACGATAGAGCGGTGAGTTTAGAAAAGATATACAATCCAACCACTAAAGATGGTAAAGTCGACAGATGTAAAAGATTCTCCTTTCTTAAATCCGCATGCAAAGATATTTACATATAGTCGATTGCGTGGCTAGCACTTAGGCGATCTCTCGAAAGCAGTAGAACACACACATGGCATAAATCATCACTAATAAAAAATTATGTTCACACATCCTTTGTTACAGTATAATGAGATTTCTTTGAATTTTTCACTTTCAATAATATTTATTGTAAATTAGAGCATAATTGCATGTTCTAAACAGATTACAGTTGATACGTATGATAAATCTTTAATTGCTTTACGTTACTAATACATACAGTAAAATAAAGTATCAACTTTAATTTCCAGTACATCAATTATAGAATAATTAGTGTTTCTTGTTAAATAACAATTTATATGGTTATATATAATTATTGGAAGCCTTAAAATTATTATATGCTTCAACTTAATAAAACAGCTTAATATATTAATTTTTCATTGAATTAACCATTGTATTCAGTGAATTACTCAGAAATTCTTTATAATATTTATTAAAAATAAGAAAAATTAATATTCTTTCCGTATGAATTACAGATGGATCTTTCAAGACACCATAGAAATCAGGGAAAGGAATTGAACAACAGAAAAAATGAAAAAACGCAATCATTTGTCAAAAAATTAATTATTTATTGTAAAATAAATACGTGAAATGTATTGTACAAAATTATATGTATTTTAAAATATACCAGTATTGTTTTACAGCATTTTACAGTACATTTATTTCTCCCTTACACATCACGTCGATTTCCTTTTGCAAAAAACTCATTGTTTAAGCAATATTACAATGTAAAATTAAATAAACTAAGTCCGAAACCCGGAAAAACTCCGAAATTCGGGGTAGACAAGGATAATACTAAAAATATGAGTTAGACGAGGAAAAGAATAGCGGTAGACAAGGACAGTATTACTACCGCGTGTTAGACAAGGAAAGGAATAGCGGTAGACAAGGATAGCAACACTACCGCGTGTTAAACAAGGAAAAGAATAGCGGTAGACAAGGATAGCAATACTACCGCGTGTTTGACAAGGAAAGATATAGGGTTAGACAAGGATAGAAAATTTTACAGATGGAGAGAGTAACGCCATCTCGTGTTTGGATCCACGAACTGACCGCTCGTTACGCGGGTCACAGAATGTGAACAGAGGTATTAGACAAGGAAAGCACTAGTGTGCGACAAGGATAAAGCGAGAACGTTTCCTATTGGCTGGCGGGCTGCTGGGCTCCGTCAATCAGGCCCTAAGTCAAGCCGGTCGGTGAAAAATCATTAATAACTCCATAATTACGGTTATATTGTGAACTTTTAGAATTGAAGAATGTAGTGTGAACCTTCAGCAACTTTCACGTACAGTTTTTAGTACGCTAAACCCTCTGAATAATTAGTTATTAACAATTTTAGTACGTGATGTCGGGAATGATGCCGTTTACGTTTATATACGTTTACGGTTTTTCAACAATTTCATATCTTTCTTACGAATTCCCATGCAACTAACTATACGCATCTAAAAGCTAACTCCTTTAGCTACATTCACATATAATTTTTATTAACATATTCCGCTTCGTTTAGGAGTTATTAAATATTATTTGGGAGCGTCCGCTGTTCATCGTAGCCGAGTCAAGTCGAATCTTATAAACACTTGCTAATATTTGATAAACCATACCAGTTACGGTTACCAAATTAATTTCAGAATATAGATAAAAGTCCATTCTACATTCTTCATAATTAAAAGTGTATAATTAATCACGCATTTCTATTGAATTAACGAAAATGTGCTACGCTTTCATGCGAAGGTGTAATATAAGTGTAACACCTTTTTTGTTTTTCAATGGTTGCATAGCTTTCTACTAGATTTCCATGAAACTATCTATATGCATTTGAAAGGTACTTCCTTCAGCTATATTCTTATATAACTTTTATTAACATATTCCATCTAGTTTAAGACTTATTGAACATTCCTTGGGAGAGTATTACACCCGTCGCATTCAATCGTAACATATTTTCGTTATTTCAATAGAAATGCGTGAATAATTATGCACTTTTAATCATGGAGAATGTAGAATGGACTTTTGTTTGTATTCTCCAATAATTTTTGTGGCCGTAAGTGATGTGGTTTACTAGATATTAGCAATTGTTTATAACAGTTGGCTATACACGCGTACGACGATTAGGGAACGCTCCCAAATAATATTTAATAACTCCTAAACTAAATGGAATATGCTAATAAAAATTATATGTGAATGTAGCTAAAGGAGTTAGCTTTTAGATGCATATAGTTAGTTGCATGGGAATTCATTAGAAAGATATGAAATTGTTAAAAAACCGTAAAGGCACTGCACTTGTATTATATCTGCGCATTAAAGTGTAACACATTTTAGTTATTTCAATAGAAATGAGTGATTAATTATGCACTTTTAATCATGGAGAATGTAGAATGGACTTTTGTTTATATTCTCCATTAATTTTTGTAGCCGTAAGTGATGTGGTTTATTAGATATTCGCAATTGTTTGTAACAGTTCGCTATACTCGAGTACGATGAATAGGGGACGCTCCCATATAATATTTCATAACTCCTAAACTAAACTGAATCTGTTAATAAAAATTATACAAGAATGTAGCTGAAGGATTTGTCTTTCAGACGCGTGTAGTTAGTTGCATGAGAATTTTGCAGAAAGCTGGGGTTGCCGATCCCTGGAATAGACTAATCATCCATGACTGATAAAATGTGACGATTAGTTCTAAAATTGTCTACTAGCTGGCAGCATCATCCAATAGTCCTAGTGCTGATATCTGTGGTTACAATATTGTACCTCTGGTAAAAAATTAAACGTTAATGTTAACTTAGATAAGGTCAGGCTAATGCGTGACTAATTATACACTTTAAAGCATGTAGAATGTAGAATGAACGTTTATCTATGATCTGCAATTTGTCTGGCAGCCGTAAGTGGTGTGGTTTACTAGTTATTAGCAATTGTTTGTAACAGTTCTCTATACTCGAGTACGATGAATAGGGGACACTCCCATATAATATTTCATAAGTCCTAAACTAAACTGAATCTGTTTATAAAATTATATAAGAATGTAGCTGAAGGAATTGTCTTTCAGACGCGTGTAGTTAGTTGCATGAGAACTTTGCAGAAAGCTGGGGCTGCCGATCCCTAGAATAGACTAATCGTCCAAAGCTGATAAACTGTGACGATTAGTTCTAAAATTGTCTACTAGCTGGCAGCATCATCCAATAGTCCTAATGCTGACATCTGTGGTTACAATATTGTACCTCTGGTAAAAAATTAAACGTTAATATTAACTTAGATAAGGACAGGCTAATGCGTGACTAATTATACACTTTAAAGCTTGTAGAATGTAGAATGAACGTTTATCTATGTTCTGCAATTTGTCTGGCAGCCGTAAGTGGTGTGGGTTATTAGATATTAGCAAATGTTTGTAACAGTTCTCTATACTCGAGTACGATGAATAGGGGACACTCCCATATAATATTTCATAAGTCCAGTACTGATATCTGTGGTTACAATATTGTACCTCTGGTAAAAAATTAAACGTTAATATTAACTTAGATAAGGACAGGCTAATGCGTGACTAATTATACACTTTAAAGCTTGTAGAATGTAGAATGAACGTTTATCTATGTTCTGCAATTTGTCTGGCAGCCGTAAGTGGTGTGGGTTATTAGATATTAGCAAATGTTTGTAACAGTTCTCTATACTCGAGTACGATGAATAGGGGACACTCCCATATAATATTTCATAAGTCCTAAACTAAACTGAATCTGTTTATAAAATTATATAAGAATGTAGCTGAAGGAATTGTCTTTCAGACGCGTGTAGTTAGTTGCATGAGAACTTTGCAGAAAGCTGGGGTTGCCGATTCCTGGAATAGACTAATCATCCAAGGCTGATAAACTGTGACGATTAGTTCTAAAATTGTCTACTAGCTGGCAGCATCATCCAATAGTCCTTGTGCTGACATCTGTGGTTACAATATAGTACCTCTGGTAAAAAATTAAACGTTAATATTATCTTAGATAAGGTCAGGCTAATGCGTGACTAATTATACACTTTAAAGCTTGTAGAATGTAGAATGAACGTTTATCTATGTTCTGCAATTTGTCTGGCAGCCGTAAGTGGTGTGGGTTATTAGATATTAGCAATTGTTTGTAACAGTTCCCTATACTCGAGTACGATGAATAGGGGACACTCCCATATAATATTTCATAAGTCCTAAACTAAACTGAATCTGTTTATAAAATTATATAAGAATGTAGCTGAAGGAATTGTCTTTCAGACGCGTGTAGTTAGTTGCATGAGAACTTTGCAGAAAGCTGGGGTTGCCGATCCCTGAAATAGACTAATCATCCAAGGCTGATAAACTGTGACGATTAGTTCTAAAATTGTCTACTAGCTGGCAGCATCATCCAATAGTCCTTGTGCTGACATCTGTGGTTACAATATAGTACCTCTGGTAAAAAATTAAACGTTAATATTATCTTAGATAAGGACAGGCTAATGCGTGACTAATTATACACTTTAAAGCTTGTAGAATGTAGAATGAACGTTTATCTATGTTCTGCATGATTAATTATGCACTTTTAAGCATGGAGAATGTGGAATGGACTTTTATCTATATTCTGCAATTAGTTTCGTAACCGTAAGTGGTGTGGTTTATTAAATATTCGCGATTGTTTAT